ACTAGCATAAAGGTTTCTTGCATACATTGGTTTTGAGTTGACTCGACAAATAGGGAAAATCAAATAGTAAAAGCTAATATTAAACATTAAGAATTTAATAAATACAAATAAAATATTTTAATAAATAAAATCGGAAAACAAACAAAAAGTTATTCAGTGAATAATTAATAATAGATAAAAAATTACGGAATGGATAAGTTCAAAGAATTGTCAGAATCATCTTTACCAAAATTTTCCACATAATTAATAAGAATCGTCAGATGATGATAACTTTCACCTGCATCATGTGTTGAAAGCTAAAGGGATGAAAACGATAACACAGAACTTAGTACAAAATCTGTTGAAGGTCATCAGGTTATGGCACCAAAAATTGCATCATATAAGTTAACGTTGGTTACTAAAAAGGTTATTGTAACTTTTGGATAGTGATTGATAATGAAAGAGGTGCTAATACAATAAATTTTACTGAAGCATCTTCAAATCAAACTCTTCCTTTCACAGTCGACTAAACTTTTTTTAATTCTAATCTACGATTTCAAATATTTATTAAAAGGATTAAACCACGATTTGCACCATAGCTCTAGTGCGGCAAAAATCCTTTGACTTAAAGTAAAATACCTCTATATTAAATATCATTAAAAACTGATTAGAAAAAAAAAGAATTATTCAAAAGTCGATTTTATCAAAATAAAGAAAAAACAAGTAAAAACGTTTCGGTCGGTATAAGCCGATTGAATTATACCCTGCACCTTTCGTTGTTGTATAGCAATTATTCAAACCTGTGAAACCATTCTATAGAAACTTCACGGATATAACTGGACACACAACTGCCAAGTTTCATGAATCTGACTTTATTATTTTTCCAAATATTTAAAATTAGCTTTTGAAGTTGTATGTCAGGTACCCGAACCTGCCAAGCAATTAAACTAAAACTTCGCAAATATATCTGATCCATAATTCGACACACTACTGCCAAGTTTCATGAATCTGACTTTATTATTTTTCTCAAATATTAAATGTCAAGAAATTCCATCAATTCGTTCCGTAGATATGGTGAAAAATGTAAAATCGGCCCGCAAATCAGTTTTCGAGCCCTGATCTTTCCAAAAAATTTATATGTTCATTGCTTTAGTACGAGGAATTCAAATTTTAAATTTCAATGAAACCGGATGATTATTTCTGTTTATATACGCAAAAATGTATGTTTGGCCCATAGCAAACGTCCAGTTGCTGTTGCCTTATTTCTTCCAAAACATAGGAATTTTCGCGGCCGGTCAAGCAAAACTTATATATGAAATTGCAAATAAATCGGTTGAATATTTTTTTCAAAATGGTCAAAAGTGTCAAAACAGGCTTGTTAAAAAGTGCAGTTGCCGAGACCTGATATATACCAAAAGTTGATCGATCCGTGCCATGGTGGAAACAAACTTACATATAAAATTTCATCAAAATCGGTTCAGCCGAACTTGAGATATACGCGTGCACACACAGACCGACAGACGGACAGACGGACAGACCGACAGACCGACAGACCGACAGGTTGCTAAAAATAGTTTATTTACACTTCCCTACTATGGAGAAGTACATTCCCACTGAAAACTCGATATGCAAAATTTGTTGCCATTACAAAACCTACCTATTGTTTACACAATACGGTCGGTAAAAATGGTGCTAGTTTATTCAAACATTCTTTGATAACCCTTATTTGTATGTCGTTATTGTAGCTCACACACAATTCGTGTATTCAAGTTTATGTATACAGTTAATAGTTTTTTGTAGCGTCGCCTTCTTGACTGTAAATTTTTTGGCTTTGCTATTTTCATATTTTTAGCACTTTTCCAAAAATTTTTTGAAAAAAAGTGCTTACTAGTTTCTCTCGGTCCGTCCGTCCGTCCGTGGACACTTTTTTTGTTTACAAAACTTCTACACCCTTGAAGATAGAAAGCTGTAATTTTACATGTATATAGATCTTTACTAGAGACTTACTTCCGTAGAACAAAATTTTTATCTATCTCCCCCCCTCTAGAAGTTATACTCTCCCAAAACCCTAAAAATGGCCTTTTTTAACTATTTGTTGCAATGAAACCATAAGCATTTTTGAAATTTTGCAAACGCAGAAAGGCAGGGGCTTGCTTCCCCTAGCGCGGTATACTATAGTTAAACTTTAGAAAAACAAAATGGTCGTTCAAATTTACCGTTACCTAAAATCCTTTTTTTCCAAATTTTTGATCCAAATTTTGATTTTCGTTTTTTTGGACCCCAGCCTGTAGAAGCTTGAAATTTTATCTTTTAGACATTAATAAATAGTTCATTTCGTTAGAAGAAAGTTTTTTTCCATCTCCACCCGTTCTCAAGTTATCGCCTCTTGAAGTTTTATAAAATTTTAATTTTTGACACCTTATATTTCCGAAACCGCAAGCTTTTTCTATAAACGCAAAAAGCTAACGGTAAATTCCATGACATTAGGAAATATAATTATTTTTCTTCACTCGCACAATTAAGCCTTAAAATCGAGCATTATGTTAACCCCACTTTATATTAATTTTTGCTGTATTTCAAAGACTGCGTAAATCGTTAATCCTAAGTATATGCAATCCTAGAAATAGTTGTGTATATGAATGAAAATAATTTTTATAGTGTGATACATAGACTGTGTTTAAAAGCAGAATTTTCACATGTTAAAGGGAAATGTGCTACAATACAAATCATAGGTTTGACCCAACTTTATTAGAAATAAATTTCAGATGTTACGATTTTTGTCATATTTTCACCTATTTTACTAGTTTACTAGTAGTTGTTGAAGTCATTTAGTTTTATTATCTTCTCGTTATTATCACGGTTCTTAAAAAATTTGTTTATTTTATCATTTTTTTCAAGTGTTAAAATCTCTTTAATATTTTTCCATATTCCCTTTTTCTTTTTCTCTTGATTGAGGTAAATTTATTTAACCAATATTTGAATTTAGTTTTTATATATTCATTGTCATAGTTTCTTGTTCATTTGTTGTGCCAGTAATTTTTCCTTTTTATCAATGTCACGACTTTATCATCTATCCATTGTTTTGAAAACCTGTTATCTTTTTCATACCCTGCACTTCGTGAAGGATATATTAACTTTGGTATGGAGTTTGTAACCACTTGAAGGAGTCATCTCCGGTATGGACATACATATATATATATATTTTACCTCAGCGTAAAATTCTGCGTTTATTTAAACAACGCAATTAAATTCCGTCCGATCGCACGATAACTCAAAAACGAATGAAGCAATCGGTACCAAACTTTCACAAGTTTTTTTCTTTTGCGCAAACGACGCAAAAGAAATTTTGTAATTGAGCCATTTAGGATAACGGGTTGGGGTAGCTGCCATACAACTGCGAAAGCTAATTTTAAATATTTGGAAAAATAATAAAGTTAGATTCATGAAACTTGGCAATCATGTGTCCAATTGTTGATCAAAATATATATTTCTTTATAATATTCCAAGAGTAAATTTTAATGATCTGGGAAAATAATAGAATTAGATTGATGAAACTTGGCAGTCATGTGTACAATATCAGCTCACATATCTCTTAAGTTTTGATGGAATGGCCTAACAGGTTTGAGTAGCTGCCATGGAACTCCAAAAGCTAATTTAAAATATTCAAAAAAATAATAGAGTTAGATTCATGAAACTTGGCAGTTTCTATAGAGTGGTTTGTGAGATTCGAATACTTCGTATATAACAATGAGAACTAATTGTAGATATTGCAAAAACAAATTTTAAACTCATATTGTTAACGTGCATTGTATAATCCGGTCGGTTTAAATCTAGTGGGTTTTTTGTTGCATAAGTAAAATCCATTCGAATCAATTACGCTTTTGTATCATTTTACATATTCGTTTATTTTATTCTATTTTGTTATGTCCAATTTATTAATAAAATAATTTTAGCCTTTGTGTTGTTGTCCAAAAAAGGCAAATGATTATCTAATAAATTGAAAAAATTGTCAACTTCTATGGATTGTTGTGATGGTGGTCTGTATATTGACATAATGTTGTATTTCTCCTTTCGTAGCATGATTCTCACTAAGGGTTAATATTACAGCAGAGTTATCGGAATTCAAATTAAAATCATCTTCCAAGTCCAAAAGCTTTGCTGAAATCCTTTTACATATAAAAAAGTCAATTAGATCCGGGTCTTTGTTAGCATCAATAAGTGGGACTGCCAGCAGACCGATAAGAACATCGCAACTCTCAGTCACCTCTCATTGCAACTTTTAGTCACCTCCCAGTAAGAATCTATTTCCCTCACGCATATAGATGCTTAAAAATATGCTTTTTTATATTACATCAATTCCTTCCCCAAGGGGTTTTGTAACAACAGATATACATAGATATTTTTAGCTTTAAGAGAAACCTCCGATTCGTGCCTTCCATTTAGAATGCTGCGTTACGCGTATTTTATTTACTGACATTTTTCAAAAATCGCTTTGGGGTTGCTAGATACAAGTCAGTGTGTTTATTTTGATTTTACTGCGGACTTCTTTGAACGTCTTAAGCATCCAGCCAAGCCCTCTTCGACAGCCGTGGCCTCTGCCGGCGCTTTGGTAGATATCTCTACCGCATTAATATTCTTATTATTAGACATTTCATATTTGTTTATAACTTCTATATATATTAACTCAGGGTTTCTTGCACTACCGTCGCTCTGGGATCAGGCACAGACCAGGAAGCCGTCCATTCTGGATGATAAGGTGCGCCTGGATTTTGTGCGGATTTTAATGGACTCATACCAGAAGTATGCCTGCTGAGGGTATTTCTACTCCCAACCCAGCGGGGTTAAAAATGTGATTTAAAAAAGTTTTATAAATATACGCAAAATTGAAACTTAAATTTCAGGAATAAATCGAATATTAAAAAGTTTTAATTTAATTAATGCAATTAAATTAACTCAACGTTAAAAAACTTATTTCACTTGTTTTCTAAATTTCTTTTCGTATATATTTTTATATTAAACAGAGGCAGTAGCTGAAATTTTGGAAGCCCCTGATGTACATATAAATGAAGGTTCCACATTGAAGCTTGAATGTAAATTAAAAAGAGCTACAGAGAGTCCTTTATATGTATTCTGGTAAGTTTTTTTATTTAATTAATTCATAAAATATCACATTATCTATAATATAACTCGTTGATTGGCAGGTACCACGAGTCCCGTATGATAAATTATGACTTAGACCATGGAGTAACAGTTACATCGGGCCAATTACCGTCTAGTTTTTTGCATGTTAAAAATGCGACTGTTCGTCATGGTGGTAATTACACATGTGCTCCGGCTAATGCTAAACCGTCGAGTGTTTTTGTTCATGTGCTAAAAGGTATATATATAACCAAAAATGTTTGTACATATATAATTAGATATCTTTTAGAGAAATATTTAGAAATATTATGTTTTTCAAATACAATTATGTTTACGGCGTTGTAATTTATTAACAACTTTATGCAAAAATGTCGTTGTAGAGAATCAAAAATAGCAACGAAAATGTCACTTTGAAGAGTTTTTAAACATTATTTTCGTAAATTAAACACTTCTAAAGCTACTAGAATTTATTTGTGAAAAAAAAAACAAATTCAGATGAACATTGTTTAAAAGGCTGTTAAAATTTTTCAGCAACTTTTCCTTTAGCTGTAAGTGCACATTTTTTTAGCTTTGTATTTTCAATACTTTTATTATTTAAAGAGCCGCTCCACTTTTTAGTCTCTTTTAGACACATACATATATGTATATTTACCTAATGAAATTATAAAAATTTTTTGTTTTTTTTAATGGTTTTGTTTATACAAAGTGCAGCAATTAAAAATACAATCATAAGTTCATAAAATGAGCGTAAGTTGCTCTAATATGAAATTTCACATAATTCATGGCACTGATAACAACAATAAATTTCTTAAAACTATAAATATACGAAAGTGAAAAGTTATGAAGAAGCATTCAATACTCGAGTCTTCATTCGTGTAAGCGAATTGGATTGCTCCCATTTTAACATTTGATAATAAGAAAACTTCCTTTTATTCGGAATAAAATACTTTTTTTTTATTTTTTGCTATTATTTTTCGTGCGCTACATACGCACTTTATCAAAGTGGATTTTCTTCTTTGAAATAAGGTTTTCTTCTTTGAAAATCAGCTTTGATAAAGTGCGTATGTAGCGCACGAAATATATTGGCAAAAAATAAAAAAAAAGCATTTTATACCGAATAAAAGGAAGTTTTCTTTTCATACTAATAAAAAAAAAAATTATATTTCGGAAAAATTATCAACCATTGAAAAAACTTTTTTGAATTTGATAATAAGTTTTTTTCAAACTTTTGATTGAAAGTTATGTTATTATGAAACTTCACTGGTTAGTGCAAATGTTCGTGTATCGATATTGATGCATCAGAGCAAAAAATGACACAACAAGAAGTCATGTGTAAAAAAATTTCTTTCACTAATGAATATGAGAGCACATGTAAAAAGTACTGTAAAATATTTTTTTCTCGAGCAAACTTTTAAATATAACAGTTAAAATCCGTTATTTTGTTTTGAAAAATAATTCAATATTTTCTTTTTGCTGTGTGTTGTTTGTCAATTTGTGATATGATATTCATTTTTTTACCGTTACATCGAAATTCATTTCATACATAGAAATTTCCTTCAGTCCTTCACTACTTGTTGTTTCGAATGATCATAGATTTTCATTTTTGATTGTGCAGGCATTAACTTTTAAAGTAGTGGTAATATTTTATAAGTTGAAATTTCTTTAATTACTATGAAACCTTATGAAAATGTTCAATCAAAAGTATGCCATTTTTCTTTCTGCGCTCGGGATATGATGATTGTTACTTATTTGACAAACACGTTTTATATCTAAATTTATTAAACTGCAGATATTTCTGTAATACATCTTACATCGAAAATTATCATTAAATTATCATCTGATTTTTACAGAGGTAGCGACAATTTTACAGACAGTAATGCACACAATAAGGGAGGTTATGTGATGGCACTCGGATGTCAAATTTTCCGTGGGAAAGCACTTATTCATGACAGAGAAGCTTTAATAAACTATTTTTAGAAATATGCTAATCTGTCTGTCAGTCTGATTATTTGTCTATTTGTCTGCCTGTCTGTGCTGATTAGTATATACAGTTTGGCTGAACCAATTTTTATGAATTTTATATGTAAGTTAATTTTGTTAGGTATGTTTACTAAAAGCTTGCTAAATTCTTGAAAACTGGGATAATGTCGGTTATGTTGTGCATATATCCTTAACTATAACAAACATATATGCATATATATTTTATTATTTATAATGTATTTCATTAAATACAATTTTGTATTTTCACGTGATATATAATATTGTTTCATATTATATACTTACTGACCGCATTTGTTAGCACTTTTCCAAAAATTTTTTGAAAAAAAGTGCTTATTAGTTTCACTCTGTCCATCCGTCTGTCTGTGTGTCTGTTTACAAAACTTCCACACCCTTGAAGATAGAAAGCTAAAATTTAATACGTACATAGATCTCTACTAGAAACTTATTATCGTAGAACAAATTTTTTACGTATCTCCCCCCTTCTAGAAGTTATACCCCCCAAAACCCTAAAAATAGCCTTTTTTAACTATTTAGTGGAGTGAAACCATAAGTATTTTTGAAATTTTGCAAACGCAGAAAGGCAGTGGCTTGCTTCCCCTAGTGCAGTATACTATAGTTAAATTTTAGAAAAACAAAGTGGCCATTCAATTTTACCGTTATCTAAAGTCCGTTTTTTCCAAATTTTTGATATAGTTTTTCTTGTAGACCTCGGCCTGTAGAAGCCTGAAATTAGGAACTTTTAGACACTAACAAATGCTTAATTTCGTTTAAAGAAAATTTTTTTCCATCTCCACCCCCTCTCAAGTTATCTTCTCTTGAAATCTGTAAAATTTGAATTTTTGACACCTTATATTTCCGAAACCGCAAGCTTTTTCAAATTTCTATAACCGCAAAAAGCTAACGGTAAATTCCATGACATTAAAAAATATAATTATTTTTCTATACTCACACAATTAGCCCTTAAAATCGGGCATTATGGTAACCCCTCTTTATATTAATTTTTGCTTTATTTCAAAGACTGCATAAATCGTTCATCCTAAATATATGTAATTCTAGAAATAGTTTCGTCTATGAATGAAAATAATTTTAATAGTGTGGCGGATATACAGAGACTGTTTTTAAAAGCAGTATTTTCACTTATTGAAGGGAAAAGTGTTAAAATACAAACCATTGGTTTGAGCGAACTTTATTATTGTTACTGATTACATTATTAATTTTTAATTCTAACATAACTGAATTTTCATGGTGCTCACTTTTTACAAAAAAGTTTACTAAATTTTTTCGATAATCTATTACGCTCTTCATCAAATAAAAGTTGTACCATTCATTCAATATCGTCAAAATTGAGATTTAAATTTAATTTTTGATGCATTGCATTTATTTTTGTTTTAAACATATTGTATTATTTGACAATTGAGAACTTAAAAAATTTGATACAAAGTATTATTTAATTTTGAAATAAAACTAAAAGAAATTTGAAAATGAGTTTAAAATTTCATTAGCTTTTAATCTGCAAGATTGGATTTACCTGTCACAATTCCCAAGTTATAAATAAAAGTGTAAAAATAAGACGGGTTTTGCATGTTTCAACTTTGAGGCCCCATTACTCGAGAACAAGGCCCTAAAAAAAAGTCACTAAATGTTTTTTGCTCATGTGCATGCATACCATCACCCTGCTTCAGGAATACCGTTGAGTCCCGCACACCCTGAGTACAAGTATAGTGATACATGTTTTCCAGTTTCATGGTATTAACGGTTGATCTAAAATAGTATTGAAGAGTCTCCTAAACTATTGAACATATAGATTCTCTCCATATTTTAAATATTCATTGGTGATGTCATGTTCAATATTCAATGAAGGTTGTGTTTCTGCATCTCGTTCCCTGCATAAATGATTAAAATGTCAGACCAGAGTTTTACCAGATACAGTTGATGGTTAGTTAGCAAAACCAATATACTGTTTTAATTTTTCTTACTTCAAGGTTTACTCGATTTCTTCTTGTTGAAATATAATGCCTGTAATCAAGTCCAGTTTTAGTGTTCCTATTTATCACACTTTTCTTTGCGAGGGTCCTGATTCTTTCACAAAACCATGGTCTTTTTTTTTTATTTCTTAACGGTTTTAACAAAATTCTTACAAATTTAAGAGTTACAATAATATTATTTTATAATTTTTTTTAATTAAGTAGCGAAATTAATGCAATAATAAGAAAAATACAAAATTTGCATTTGTTTAATTAAAATATAATAAAAAGAATTTTTATAAAAAACAAAAAAACTTTGACAGCAATTAATTTAATTAATATATAAATATATTATCAATCTCCTTCAATATAAAAAACAGGTCCTATTCCGACGAGATTTAACGAATCTCTTATTTCGACTTCTATAATACATTTATTAAAATTTTTAATTTAAATTAGATAGTACCTTTATTCTGATTGTTACATGTTTGAGCTAAACAATTATCCAAATCAAATAATTGCCACACTGTTTCACATGACATTTTGAATTTGTATATGTATAACGCTATTTTATAAACATATATGTACACTTTAGTTGTCACGAGTCTTATTTCATATAAAATCAAACCACTGCAAAAAATTTTACTTAGTAACTTATGGCTATAGTATTACTTTAACTTATGGCTGTAGTATCATAATATTTCTTTATGCAAAATTTCAGCCCTGTAATTTCAATAGTTTCCATAATAAACTATCAAGTAACTTTCGAAATTGTATGGCAGCTTCCATCACGAGTCAAGAAATTTTAGTTAGTTTTAAAAATATATCAGTTCTAATAAAACATTTTCTTATGCGAATTTTCAATACTTTTATAATTTCGGATATAATTCCAAACAACTTTTGGCAGCTATCATAAGCACTCATGATATCTCAATAGATTTTACCAAAAATATTGACCATTTCTTTATACAAAATAACTGCTTATACAATTCGTACATTTGTTTACAAAATTTCAGCACTGTACCTTAAGTAGTTTTTAAGGTATGAGTATGACCAATTATTTTGAACCTGTATAGAAGTTACCACTAGAAGTCAAGAAATTTCAATGATTTTTACACATAATATCTTTGCTTGTGCGAAATTTTTCAGTGCTTCAATAATTAAGTACTAATAACTTTTAAAGTTGCAGAGCAGCTACCCTAACCACAGCCATCCAATTTATGTTTCGACATTTAGTACTAAAATCATTTGTGAAAATTTGGTGAGCACAGCT